GATTGGTGGCCACCTGAGAAGTGTGACTATGGAACCTGTGCTTGGGGCCATGCTTCTCTGCTAAATTTGGTATGTCTTCTTTGCAAGTACTCACCTGACACACATTAAATTTGGTATGCATTTTGATCTAAAAGTGTTTTTTTCCCTTCTTTTTGGTTAGAGTTGCAAATGTTGCTTATTGGCTCACATTAAAGCATCCCTTTTTTCCTTTTCTGCTAAATGTGAGATGTTTGCAATTTTAATCTGAACTTTTTGTACCCATAATCCATTGTTTGAATATATCAAATCTTTTCTGGCTAACTATTTTAATGGGGCATAAGGTTCAAGAAAAGCCAAGAAAGACCTTGTTAACATTTGAAAAAATGTCTGAATTTGAAGTTGAATAGACACAGAGACTCCTCAAAAACCAACTTGAATTGGATGCCCACTCAACAACATAGGTGTTGGTGGTTTAGGCTTGTTTTTGGATTTGGATTTTGCTTTTAATATATTTTCTGTGAGAAATAAATTAGTCCCACAAAATCGCAAAGTTGTAATGCTAAGAACTGCAGACTCTGAAAACAGAAGGCTATGTTAGTATGGTTTGTTAACATTTTGAGCTTTCTTCTGATTCTATTTCATGTGTTGTTTGTGCAGGATCTTAGTAACATTATTTTTTTAAATGCAATAAAAGGTACGAAACCATTATATTCTAGCAAAGTTCCATGAAAATTCAGCTTTGTATGTGTGTAGTAACGTAAACATCAATTCTTTTTGCATTTATCCTTGCAGCATTCTCACCTTTAAAAATTCGGTTGGGTGGCACTTTGCAAGATAAGGTCGTCTACCAAACTAAAGATGATCGTGTACCTTGCACTTCATTTGTTTCAAACACATCAGAAATATTTTCTTTCAGTCAAGGGTGTTTGCCGTTGTCTAGATGGGACGAGCTAAATGTGTTCTTTAATAAATCCGGGTAACCAACGAGATTCATTCCTTGTCCAGCTTATATATGTCAGCACTCCTAACTGTATGTATCATCTTTGCGTGTTCTACTCAGAGCTGTTATCATTTTTGGCTTGAACGCTCTCACGGGAAGATCTATACGGTCCGATGCTTCTGCTGTTGGAGCCTGGGATTCAACAAACGCTGAATCTCTTATGAAATATACTGTCGAAAAGGGTTACACTATCCACGGGTGGGAGTTGGGTAAGATCAGAGAAGTCGCTATTTCTTAGCACTGCAACATTTTGTATATTGTGTATATTCCAAACATCAGCATCTATCTTTGATTCTCTGCTTTAAGTAAAACTATTTGTTAGGCGAAGCCTGGGAAAGGCCAAGTCTAGCACCCGGTGGTGTCTGGGGGTTGTTGGGCAGTGGCCGATAAAGGGCTTAAAAGGGCCATGTCCACCACCCAGTGTCTCGAAAATGTGGCGGTATAAGAAAATAAAGTTACGCCTTTGCCACTAGCTATAGCTTTTGGCATAAGTGGCAAGCGCTTGAACTTAACAAGTGGTATCAGAGCCAGGTCACGGGAGTAACATTTAAGATTGGAAATATAGTTGCGCTAGCTATAGCTTTTGGCGCAAGTGGTAAACGTTTGATTCTAACAAGTGGTATCAGAGCCAGGTCACGGGAGTAACATTTAAGATTGGAAATAAAGTAGGTTTTGGCGTAAGTAGTAAACGCTTGATCCTAACACTATTTATGATTTTGTCAGGGAATGAGTTGAGTGGGAGTGGAGTGGGTGTAAGAGTTGCAGCAGATCAATATGCTTCTGACACTTATCATCTTCACAACATAGTCGAAAATATTTACAAGGATGCTAGCTATAAGCCGCTGATCATAGCACCTGGAGGATTCTTCGATGCAAATTGGTTCACGGAATTTGTAGATAAAACGAACAATTCTTTGGATGTGATCACTCACCACATATATAATCTTGGCCCAGGTATATATATTTCAAACAGTATATATGCATATGCTTACTAGTTTTAGTCATACCTTGAATCAGATATCCATCCATCTATCTTATATGCAATTCCCTTCCTTCTCTGGCTAATTAATAGGACGAGATGAACACCTTATTGAGAAAATCGTCGATCCATCTTATCTTGATGGTGAAGCGGGCACATTTAATCAACTGCGTAGCATTCTCAATAGCTCGGAAACTTCAGTTAATGCTTGGGTTGGTGAGGCCGGAGGGGCTTATAACAGTGGCCGCAATCATGTCACCAATGCCTTTGTTTTTAGCTTCTGGTAATCAGTTCAAGTTGAATGCATATATATATATATGATGAGACTTTCGTGATTTCTCGTTTTGAATTATTAAAATCCCGGATAACATATAGTCTTGGAAATAATGCTTAGGTATCTTGACCAGCTTGGGATGTCAGCCTCGTACGATACAAAAACATACTGCCGGCAGACACTAATTGGAGGAAACTACGGTTTACTTAACACTACTACCTTTGTACCAAATCCAGATTACTACAGGTCTCTAAGATTTTACTATGATAGCAGTACATATGATCTGATAGGCCGGCTTAGTTATGTTCGTTGGTATTTATTGTTTTAGTGTTATGTGCTAATTCTGCTTCCCGCTCTGCAGTGCTCTTCTTTGGCACCGATTAATGGGAAGGAATGCTCTGTCAACAAGCTTCTCGGGGACGAAGAAAATACGTGCCTACGCTCATTGTGCAAAGCAATCTGTAAGTTTGATTTACAAGTAGATACTAAAATTACTTTTCGGTTGATGAACATTACTGCCCCTGCCTGGGATTATAGTTGCTGCTGGATTGTCAATCCACAAGTTTGGACTATTCTTGTCCTGAGAAATTGGGTGGAAGGACTGTTTTGCCCCTAACCCCCACCCTATCATAGGGATGTCAAAATGGGCCGAAGCCAGCAGGCTAGCGCTAACCTGACCGGCCGCCAGTCAGGTTAGGATCTAGCCGACAAATTATACCATGGACCAAGGTCTACCTTGCATTGTAGACCCTGGTCCAAAAATAACCTTCAGATTTTGTATTTATAGTTGACACATTCTGTAATTGTAGTTGATAGTTTTTGTACCTATAGTTATCATATTATGTGTCAACAATTATCAAGTCAGATTCTGTATCTATAGTTGACACATTCTGTACCTGCAGTTGATAGTTTACCTGTAGGCTGTAGCTATCATATTATATGTCAGCAATTATCAAGTTATTTGTTTACATGTACAGAAGCTGTTAACTGTAGGTACAAAATGTGTTAACTGAAGATACATAATTTTTGTATCAAGATTCACAATGCAATATGAACCCGGTCCATGGTATAACAATTGAACCTAGCCCGCGAAAATCCGGGCTTCACGGGCCTAGCCTGTGCGGGTTGGTGGGCTACACGGGTTAACAATCCCCCTTTCCTTTTGGTGATGAAAATAACAATCATCTTTCTCTTTTGCAGGGAGGCATCACCTTATTGTTGATCAATCTAGACAGCAACACTACCGTGGAGGCCAATGTTGCATACAATGGAAGCTTTGTGCACCATAGAAAACATATACGTCATATAAACCATCACCACCACCACCATCATAGCCATAGCCATGGAAAGGGATCACCGCGGAGCCAAAAGAGAGGTACAATGACAAGAGAAGAGTATCATTTGACAGCAAAGGGCGGAGATTTGCACAGCCAAACAATGCTGCTAAATGGGAATGAATTGAGTGTAGATTCATCGGGGAGCATACCGGAGATGAAGCCGCGATATTTGAACTCATCTGAGCCAATAACTGTGGCTCCTTTTTCCATTGTATTTGCTCACATACCTTATGTCTTCCTGCCTGCTTGCAGATAGTGATAGTGATAGTGATGATATGATGGGGCCAAAACTGGTTCCCCATTTGGTGATTCTTGAAATAAGAAACAGAATGGAGAATATGATTGTTTATTCTTTCATTCTTCATAGATGTTATACACAATGGGGTTTGGATTCCACTAATGCCATCATGGATGTTATATGGCATTGTGATAATGTGATCAATGTTAATCAATCATGTTGAGCTTTGAAGGCATTTCATCCAAGCCATTAGTCTACTAAATCAATATATATAGCTGTCCATACGAGTCCAACCCTACATTTTGGTTGCGTTTAATCCGTATTTTAGACGAATTTGATAAAAAAAAAAAAAAAAAAAAAAAAAAAAAAAAAAAAAAAAAAAACTCGTTCCATTTTTAGCTCAATCCATATAACACGTAAAAATACGGGTTATACTGTTTGAAACCATATAACTCATGGGTTATCCACTTAATCTTTTTTTAAAAATTAAAATTTAAATATTTTAAAATTGAGAATGAAGAATTTGAACAACTAAACTTTGTTAATTGTTATTGATTTTGAATTTGAATGATGAATTATGAAGGACTCAATTAGTGTAATGTTATTTTGTTACTTCCCTTGGAAGTTAGTAGTTGAAACTTGGAATAAATCGTTATTTAAAAAAAAAAAAAAAAGAAAAAAAAGAAGTGATGCTCTTGCCGTATAAATTGAGATGTCTTCATTAGTATAGACACCATTGGTATTATGGTATATGTCATTGTGATAATATGATCAATGTTAATCAATAATGTGTCACACCAACAATTGAAATACAATCATTCTTCATTTTCTTCCTCTACTTTGTATGAGTTTTGTGTAGTTAGTGTAGTCAGGTTCTAACTACAGTTTCAAGTGCACGATTTCTATAGTAGTTGTGATAACATTGTGGAGCATTTCTGGTCATTATTCATTGCACCATCTCTGAAAATTAACTCTTTTTTTTTTTTTGAAACAAGACGAAATTTCATTAAAAGCTAAAGAGAGCAGAAATACACAAGGGTGGGCTATTAAACCACGACCCCAGGACAGACGAGGAACCAGTCGCCCGTGCCAGTACATAAGCTACGTGATTCGCTGACCTCCTGACATGGCGAACCTCTACGTTCCCAATGTCACTAGCAATCTGATGACATTGCTTTACAATCGATCCAACATCAGACAAATCTACAAAACGGGAATTAAAAGCAATAGAAAAATTTAGACAATCAGTTTTTACTATTATATTATTTAGACCAGAACTCTTAAGCCAAACTAACGTTCTTTCAACCGCAACCGCCTCTGCCATCAAAGGATCTCGCACAGAGCCCATCTTTCCGCTAGGTGCTGCGACAAAACGCCCGCCGTGGTTACGAACCACCACGCCATAACCCGCACCATTGCCAAAAAGGGCCGCATCTACATTGCACTTCACCCATGTTTGCGGTGGCGGAGACCAGTGAGAGCTGACTGAAGCCTCAGGCACCTTATTTCCCGATGACCTGTGTATGGACTTCTAGAGAGTCCGCAAGGCCTGAACCTGATTGCGCATGCCTGCAGGTGACGGCACCTCATCGTTCCATACCCTCTCGTTTCTTGCGTTCTATAGAACCCAGAATACAGCAGCCATGCGTACTGCCTGGTCGACATTTGCACTCCCCATGGTGGCCTCCATGAATCCCTGTAAACTCCTTCCTCTCAAGATGTCATCATCTTCCTAAATCTGCCTTGCGATAACACAGTCACACAATAAGTGCTCCATCGTCTCCCTGGGGTAGTCGCAAAAAGGGCAAATCCCCCCCCCCCCCCCCCCCCCCCCCCCCCTATCCATACTCGCCTTAGTTTCAGGATGTCTTTGACTGGCAGGATACCCCGAGCGCATCTCCATAACAGGTTCTTCGCTTTGGGTGGCATAGGTAGTCCCCATAGTCTCGTCCACACCGTGAAACTGTCCCCAGGACCGTCCGACGTGATGGCTTCAGTGAGCAGTTTGTATCCATGTCGAACTGTGTACATGCCTCGAGAATCACCCTTCCACCACCATGAATCGGGGTAGAGAGGCGACAGAGGGGTAGCTAAAATTCTGGGCACATCGGTGTCATTAAAGAGATCGTGTAGAATGTCCTCATCCCAACTTCCGTGGTCATTAATCAGTCCATCCACCTTTGCCTCCCTTAGTTCCTCTATGCATGGAGTGTCAAGGGTAGAAGAGCACGCATCTGCGAGCCATGGCCAGCCCCAAATCCTAGAATCCTTACCATTTCCAATTCGCCGGGCAGCACCCAGCTGGAGTAGAGACTGTCCAGCCAAGATACTACGCCACAGGTAGCTTGGATTGCCTCCTAATTGTGCCTCTAGAAAGTCGCAATGCGGATAGTATTTAGCCTTCAGAAGTTTACTAACAAGAGAATTTGGATAAATCATTAACCGACATCCCTACTTTGCCAAGAGAGCCACATTGAAGTCGTGTAGGCATTTGAAACTCATACCCCCATGCTATTTGGATGCACAAAGACGAGTCCAGCTTAGCCAATGTATGCCTCGACTGCCCGAGCCACCCCCTCCCCACCAAAACCAGTTAAATAACTTTTCAAGAGTGGAACAAACCCGTTCGGGCAAAAGAAAAACGGACATGGTAAAAATGGTCAAAGCCTGTGCGACACTCTTTAGTAAAACCTCTTTGCCCGCCCTAGACAGAAGCTTTTGTTGCCAACCGCCAACCCGTTCTCTCACCTTCTGTTCAATATACCAAAAGCTAGCTGACTTATTACGGCCCAGAACCGAAGGTAGGCCCAAATACCGACCCAAGTCAGTCGTTTCCTGGATCCCTACGCACTCCGTGACGACTATCCTTGTACCGCTAGCAGTGTTTGAGCTGAACATGGCATTGGACTTCTCATAGTTTATAACCTGTTCGGAAGCTGCACTGTAAACCTCCAAGCATTCCTTAACCCTTTGTGCTTCAACTTGGGTGGCTTTAAAGAAGAGTAAACTGTCGTCTGCGAAGAAAAGGTGGGAAACCGAAGGGGCCCCCCTCGTTATTCTGATTCCGTGGATGTCCCCTCGAGCCTCCGCCTGTTGTGGAAGAATAGACAAGCCTTCAGCACAGAGAATGAACAAATAGGGGGACAGCGGGTCCCCTTGTCGAATGCCACGGGTAGGATTAATTGTGCTCACAGTTTCACCGTTGACTTGAATATGGTCCATCCACGATCAAAACCCAAAGCCGCCAACATCTCCTCCAAAAAACCCCATCCCATACGGTCGTAGGCCTTGGCCATGTCAAGCTTCAAAGCAGTCCATCCCACCGCCCTGCTTACCTTCCTTCGTAGGTAATGACCCACCTCCCCGGCCACGATGATATTATCCGTTAAAAGCCTGTGGGGTACAAAGGTGCTTTGAGACACTGAAACAACACTTTGTAGGGTCTCTTTTAGCCGATTGGCTAACATTTTAGCGAGCACCTTATAGGGCACATTGCATAGGGCAATCGGGCGTAGGTCAGCAACTTTCTCCGGTGTCTTTTTTTTTTTTTCGGTATCAAGACAATATTGGAGTCGTTGAGCTCGAGCTCCTGCGGGAGTCTACGACTGGCAATACAATGTATAATGAAGATTGATAGATCAGATCATGCCCCAGTATGGGCAATAATGCTGAAAAAAAGCAGGTGACATACCATCAGGACCCGACGCTTTCTCCGGGGCCATCGAAAAAAGAGCAGATTTGACTTCGTCCATAGTGAACGGTAATAATAAAGAAGCATTCATCTCTTCCGTTACGCGGCTCGTCACCCTGCTGAAGATACTTGAATTAGTGCCTACCGATTGGAAGATGTCATTGTAATATCGCAAAATTTCCGTGTTCATCCCCGAACCCTCCACCCATTGATCATCGATATCCCTCAACCGCATCAACAGGTTCCGACACCGTCGCAAGGACGTCGCTTTGTGGAAGTATTTGGTGTTGAGGTCGCTGTGTTGTAACCAAAGCTGCTTTGAGCGTTGTTTTCAAAAAAATTTCTTGCCGCAGTAGAGACACCAATTCCCCTTCGGTCGCCAAATATTCGATCACCGCCTGTTGTTCCCGAGAATCCCGAAGAATTTCCAGTTTATTGCGAAGTTTCAGCATTTGTGTACCAAAGCGTCTAAAGTACTCCGCACCCCACCGTCCTAGTTGCCGGTCACACTGGGCAATGCGCTACTGAAAATTAACTCTTAAACACAACATAACTTACAATTTAACCAACTTGACAACTTACTTCATTTTATGTTACTGTCCAAAGTAGCATACGATCATAGTAGCAATCGTTATACCCTGCACCACGGCGCACACAGCATTGTGTGCCCTGCGCCTCCCAAAATGACGTCCTTTTGTTAAGTTGTGTAGGAAGTTGACGCAATTATGTATATTATGGTATACAATTATGTACATTTGTTTATATAATTATGTCCGTTTTTTTATACAATTATGTACATTTTTTTATACAATTATGTACATCCGAAACAATAAATTTATGTGTATTATGTAAGAGTTTATGCGTATTATGTTAAAAGTTTATGTGTATTATGTTAGATTATGTGTATTATATTTTCAAAAAAAGTATGTGTATTTTCTTATACAATTATGTACATTTTTTAACGACACAGGAAAGCAGAATTCCCACAAAAAAATAATTCAAAACGACATTGTTTTGCACTCAGGCGTACAATGCAATGCGCGCCCTGGTGCACGATATAAATTGCCTCATAGTAGTTGTACTACCCAATTCTCAAATAGTTAATAGTTGAGTTAATTCCACCGGAGGTCCGTTGTCTTTGGTGGCAATTCCAAATTTAGTCCCAGACTATCGTTTTTGCCATTTTACATCCTAGACTATCGTTTTTTGGACACTTTTAGTCATTCTCATGATTTTTTTCTATTTTTAATAAGGGCATTTTTGTCGCTTCATATTTTTCTTTTGTTATTTTTTTCGATTTCAACCAGTTTAATTGGTTAGGACTTTACTAAAAATTGGTTGAAAATATGGTTACTAAAAATCAGAGGTTAACTAAAGTTCTAAACCAATTAAATTAGTTAAAACCGAAAAAATAACAAAAGAAAAATATGAAGAGACAAAAAATGCTCTTACTAAAAATAGAAAAAATCATGAGAAGGACTAAAAGTGTCCAAAAAACAATAGTCTGAGATGTAAAATGACAAAAACGATAATTTGGGACTAAATTTAAAATTACGAACAAAGACAAGAGACCTCCGATGAAATTAACTCTTAATAGTTATATTATTTATTTTTTTTTTGAAAGATTAGTTATACGGAGTATTATTTATATTTACTACGAAAATGACATCCTCGGCCCATTGATGATTTATCAAAAGCCAAGCCGCCGAATGGAATTAATTACCGTCGTTCGTCTAAAAAAATGATGATTTATTTTGAGTGAATCTTGAATGCAAGTCAATACCTAAAGTTCTACTTGAATTTAATTAATGAATTAACGTACCATTAATTATGTCAATTTTGAATGAACAAATAACAAATTAAAGGTTAGAAATTAAAATCCGAAATACATAAATTGATCACGCAGTTCGGAACGAAATTTTTTACGTCTACGAGGCAACTCACGTCAGCCCAATCCACTAGATGTTCAACAAGATTACAAAGGGGGGTTGAATACACACGGCCTTAGCCACAACATCAAACTTTTAATCTTCACAACATCTAATTCGGAGAGGTGCGTGCATGCCAATGCCAACTTCTACTTCAGGCGCTGATACTGCTGATCCTGCTCCAATCCATCTGATCCAGCGAGATCACCACTTCATAACAATATTATAATATGATAAATAGATGTAATATAAGTAGAATTTCCCCCTGGATAGAATCTCTAAAATCCGTGAAATGAAGAGATAAAGAGATCACCCTTTTATACTCAATTTCACTCAACCAACTTTTCACAAATTAATGCTGACCACATACCATTAATAAAAGACATCCACAATATTTAAATTGTAACACTCCGTGTTACGGCCCATGAACCAATTAACTATTTACCCGGAAAAGAAGAAATAAATCTCATTAACTAATTAATTAAGAAAGACTCACCATAGTCCATGGGTCCTTATCCTTAAACCCAATCCCCTAGAAGGAATAGAACTAGCCCTAATTAGGGACCCTTAAGTATATAAATAGGGGGCATATGAGGCACCTAGAACCCACACCACAATAATCTCTCACCACACAAGAAGTTCCAAGAATCCCCCTAGGAGAAATCAAGAAAGAAGGAATCTTAAAGAAAGACCCTTCATAGCCAAGGAAATTAATTAAGGCTAAGAGGTAACCCATGTCTCAACAAAACCTATTTTCCTTGCTATAATTTTCTTCTTTGGCTTCCTCTCTACACTTGTGTCTTGATGAATCGTTTATGATATTGGTGATATGATCTTGATGATTGTGAGATGATTTTATGTGTGATCTTGATGATCTTGATGATCATAAGAGGTTCTTAATGATCTTGTGATATTCTTGATGAATCTTGATGTTTCTTGATGTTAAAAGATGAACCACGATTTTGATGATTTGAATACAATTAGAGCCCTATGTTAAAATTGGGGATTTCGTATTGTGTTATTCTTGACATAATTGGGTGGGATTTCGCATGCTCGGGTGTTGATTATGTTTAGAGGTCATGATAGGATATGTGCTATATGATTCTTGCTTTTGATCCGTTAATCGTCTACGTGGTGTCATCAATTGCATTTAAAAGTGTCTAAGCATGGTTTCAGGTTCCACAACGGATCCCGGGATGTTTATTTTGATAAAAAGTCTGTGGGGGGTAGGGGGACCCGCCACCTACCCGCTGCCCGAGAAGGACGTCGCCGGCAGCGGGCAGGCGACTGCCCGCCGGGCACCCGCTGCCCGGAGACTTGTCGCCGGCGGGTGGTCCTCCACCCACCGGCTACCCGCTGGAATTTTCCCAACTTGGGGCTTCGGCTTCCCCGTTTGATGTTTCCCCGACCCTCGTGGTGTCCCAACGGATTCCGTTTATCGTGCTTAAGTCTAGTTGATGTTTCGGGTACCGTTCGTAAGATAAATGAGTCTTATATATCGCATGTTAGTTGAATTGGTATCCCGTTGCCCTAGGTGAAAGAAGTATGAACCCCTTAGGATTATTCCTAGTATGTGAATGATCACGCATAGGTTTCATTATACGTTTTCTCCCCTTTCCCAATGTGTTAATGTGGGCTACATGTGCTTGCTATGTGTTATGTGTGCGTGATACCCCAATTTGGTTGCGATCAAATTGGTTATTCCTGAGCTGCGGTTCAGAAGCTGGCTGCGGTCAGAATTACACTCTTGGGTTGCGATCCACCGTTTGGTTGCGATCAAACGTTTTACATGAGCTGCGGTTCATATTCCTGGCTGCGGTCAGATGATCACCTTTGGGCTGCGGTCCACCGTTTGGTTGCGATCAAACGTTTTACATGAGCTGCGGTTCATATTCCTGGCTGCGGTCAGATGATTACTCTTGGGCTGCGGTCCACTGTTTGGTTGAGATCAAACATTATGATGAGCTGCGGTTCATCGGTCGGTTGCGATCGACCCCTTCGTATTGCAATACGAGGCAGGGTGCTGCGGGGCTGTGTCAGAGCTATATGCGCTGACCCTCATGTATGGGCATGCGATTGGTCCTGTAGCGCCACCAAAGTATGCTTGTGTGATGAGGTAAGAATTGAATGATGACGTGAATGGGATGAAGTGAATCTGTGACCATAGGATATGATGTGCTAGTATCTTTATATGCTTGGTTATAACTGCTGAATGTGCTTAACCCTATCTGTCGAGTCTATTCTTGGTTTTAAAACTAGTGTCTCTTAAGTATATATCTTCCTGCTTCAAAATGATTTTCGTATATCTATATATATCTATCTATAATGTATTTCAATGCGTTGGAGTGGGTTACCAGCATCTCTCGCTGAACAGATATATTTGGCTTTCAGGCGCAGATGATGGTTTTCGTATATCTATATATATCTATCTATAATGTATTTCAACGCGTTGGAGTGGGTTACCAACATCTCTCGCTGAACAGATATATTTGACTTTCAGGCACAGATGAGTATACACTCGAGCGCGCTAGAGATTCGGAGCGTAGAGTAGATAGTTTCTCTTTCGGCCTGCGTGCCATGCTTATGTATTGACATTATTGAGGATATTAGTTAATAGCCTGTGTGCCTGATTTCTCTAGCTCAGGTGTGGCATAGCACCCCGTACTCTTATGTTATGTTTTGGGATTTAACGAGAACTTACCTTTATTATATTAGTCTCAAAAGTTTTAAAATTTCGGGGTGTTACATAAATAGTGCTGAATAATATATCAGACCACCCATAATTTGTTGAGTATCACTGAAGTATATATGCTAACTTTGACCCAGCATATCCAGATGTTGTGCTAGA